CCAGAGTAGATACATGAAAACCTATGGTAGATACACGAAGGAGAAAGGAACCTAGCGTACTACTGTAGGAAATCATCAAATCACAAAAAGGGAGAGAGCCAGAGAGGGAACAAAGAAACTACAGAAAAGTCAGAAAACAGTTCATAGAATGGCAATATGTATGTAGTTATTAACAAATACTTTGAAAATAATGAGCTAAACTCCCCAGACTATAGAGAGGCAGAATGGATTAAAAAAAAAAAAAATGACGCATCTATATATACTGCCTATTAGAAACTCACTTCAAATTTAAGGACAGACTGAAAGTGAAGAGATGGAAAAAATAGGCCTTGCAAGTGGAAACCAATTATGTTGGCCTTCAAAAAAAAAAAGAAAACCACAACAGCCTAGAGTAAAACATTTAGAATCACTTAAGGTTATTTTTAGTTTATAAACTTCAAGGGGAAGAATTCAGTGTTTGGGCTAAATAAGGTACTTTAAAAGGACTATCCTATTTTGCCCTGCCAACTGCCATCTTTTACCTTTTTAAACCTGAAAAGCATTTTTCCTCATAAAGCTCATCTGGTTGATCAGTTTTGGGTACTCAATCCAGAAAATAAAAGAACTCATTGATGGTTTTTGCTTGTCCTTTTAGGCAAAGGAGGAAACTTCCAAGCCAAAAGCTGATGGAAAAAGTACAAGTTAAAGTTCACACTATTTGGTAAGTTGGGTGTTTGTCACAAATGAAGACCACTGTATGTTCTAACTAGCCTGTGTGTTACAGGTGAGAAAAACTAAGTCCATTTCTTGAGTGTTTCATGTTCTCTTTATGCTATTGGCATAAAATGCACACTGCAAAATCTGTAGAGTAATTCCCTGAAAAGCAATAAATGGTGCTTCCAGAATGTTTAAACACATTACTCTTATAATTAAAAGCTCTCCAAAATACTAGGCCAGGCTCTTAAACAAAATGACCAACTAAGTCTAGTTGACTCTTTGAAACCCAGATGCTCGTGACTGCAGGTTACTGTGGCAAAGCAAAATTGACAAGTTACATCTTATAGTGAAATGGCCTTATGATCTAGAAATTACCCAAAACACATGTGGGGTAAGGAGTGCACGCCTATGGTCTCATGGTAATTACAGGGTTTTGAGAACAGTACAAAGGAAAAGACTGATAACTTTGGTTCATCTTAGTTTTAGAAAGTAAAACCCTGTGTTTGATTCTACTTTATGGCGACTGAAGAGCTGGTATGGATGAGGGAGACTCTGACATCTGTCTTGAGAGCTAGGCCCTTATTAGTGTCAAAGAGAAGAGGTCTTATTCTAAATGACAGAAGTATATAACTACTTCCTGCAAAAAATCTAAAAGAAATAACAACGTAGATTAAATTGGATTGGGCTCTCTCACCATGATTCACTTTTACGCCTATAGAGGAAAGTATACTGATTAGAACTGCTCCAAAGATTGTCCCCAAAATTTAAAAAAAAAAAGTTTTTCTTCTAATTTTCTACTCTAATATCTGCTTACAGTAAATGCCTCCTTAGATTTATTATGCCTGTAATAAGAAAATAACATATCAAATGGTTCACTGCATTTTCTTCTTTGAATTTTTCCAGGTATCTGCATATAAAATCTTCAGCGGGTAGATGGTGACTTCTGAAGAACAAAAGGCTTTGACAACAGAAACAATTTCTGGGTGGCTTCTAGACAGTGGTATTTGTTGATTCTTTTGACATCCTAAACATTGTCTGTAATTCTTTTCCTGAAAAGAAACTGAATTTGTCTGGTTCACCTGTGTTATTCTACTGAGTATTGATAAACTTTGAATTTTTAAAAATTGTCTTCAGTTGGGAGAGAAAGGAACTTTATATTTCTAAGAGATATATTTGATAGTTTCTTAAAGCAGCACACATAAAAGGAAAAACCTTTGCAAACTTTTGCACATTCTCCCCACAGTGCCTGTAAATCTCATTAGTATTTTCAATTTGCACTTAATTATTTTTGTTGTTAGCATTTGGAAAACAATGCCTCACATATTCTTCAGTGTTCTGATTTCTCATGACCCCTTTCCTCTTGGACTTTTGAACTGTATTTGATGTTTCTTTGGGTTGATAAGTCAGACATAAAATACTGTGCATTGGGCACATGTCTCCTCTTGAGCTGCTAATTGTAGAGACCCTGGACAGACCAGGAAGCACCGACCCCTGCCCCCCCCAACCTCTCTGCCAGAGGTTAGGACTTCTGCATCTTGTCCGCACAGACCCACCGGGACTTGACTCAAGTCATAAGAGCAAAATGCAGACTATGTCACTGCATAGCAAGTTTCAAGAATAATCAAGTCTAATTCTTAGAACACTCACATGGCTTGATGTCTGCCGCAGCGCTGCCTTAAGCTATGCTTGCCATCGTCTCTCTGTGAAACCTGACAGCAGCTGTTAGCATAGAGCCGTCGCCACATGAGTCTTGCACTGTGCAGCATGTGGCTTAATGGAAGCTGGGTTTATTACCAAATACAAAAACAAACTTCTGCTTAAAAAATAAAGAAAAAGATCTTTTTAACATTAAAAAAATCTGTTTTTTTCTTCCCCCATAGCAAATTAAGAACTAGGGAGGGTCTGATATCCCACAACTTGGAATGGTTTCTCATATCTTTCTGAATGGTTGATGGACATAACACTGATATCATTGATGAAATTAAATTATCAAAATTCCATCTTCATTTTCTGATCGTGAACGCAGGAAAAGATATCAGGTACACATCACAAAACTGATTTGGAATTCCTGGTTTCAGAGAGCACAGCTTTCTTTTGCATCTGTTTAAACTATTTCTTAGGACTTAGCAATTTCTCTAAAAATAAGTATCACTGATACTATCTAATGGGGTAGGAGGCAAGCTAAATAACAATACTGCTTATAATGGGTATCCAATTCTATTAATACAGTCTAAAAATTCTCCTTAAAAATCATGCATATGCCTGAGATTGCAAACTTCATCCACTTCAAATGCTCTGTCTTCATTTCATGAGAGATAAAGGCATTATTAGTCTAAAATGGGAAATAAAAGCCAGGATTATGGTAACTTAAAAGACCTTTTCAAGGCACTAACAAGAAAATAAACACTTTTCCTGAGGGATTTTAACTATGTGTCTATAGGTAGTACAAAGCTGTTTTGTTTAAAAAAAAAAAAAAAAGAAGTGAAACCTCTGACATTGACAGATGTGTTTGCAAAGATCTGACTCCAATTTTACTAATTTACATGCATATATAATGTTTTTTAAATTACATACCAAATCCAGAGATTTAAGAAATACCTGTGAAAGTAAACATTTATTTAAGGTTCTCTGAATATGCCTTTTTGTTTATTCAAAATGTCTTCAAGACTTGGGTGTCTTGTCTGCTGGTAATTAATGATGAACTGAGTAAGCTACAGGATCTAAATCAGTCCTTTTTACCCATCTAATTTGCAGTAAATAATTGCAAATATTTGCTTAGAGGTAAATAACATTTTTTATTACCAAAAGGGGTTTTGCACACTGTTGTGGTGATTCGTGTCTAGAAAATGGACTTCTCCAAAAGCAAATGAAAATAGGTTCCTCAGGTGACCAAAACCGAAAACCACTATTTCCATGTTTCATTACTCAAGATACAAGATGCAATTAAAGGAAAGTATTTTACATTAAAATCTTGGCTTTGTATGTTTTTTAGAAGGAAAACACCTGGGGGGTAGAAATTACCAGTGATTTCTGTTTTTTAGTTCTTAAATCATTAAGTCATGTGGTATGTATGAAAATGGAATTATAAACACATTTATATCCAGAAAAGACCTTCTATTCCATAGTGTATTAGAACACATTGACATTTTTATATCCTATTCCTTTAACTTAAGTTTTGCAATATATTAAACCCATAAAAGATTTCAACTCCAACACCATACCTGGTCTTTGCTTAGGCTCATATAAGCAAGTAGTTTCCATTTGACAGTAGCTTACATTTAGTAGAGTCTGCAGTGCCCGAGGGCAGTAAGCGCCAACAACAAGTTATTTAGGGATTATAAACCAGACCATCTCATCTCTATCCGCCCCTTCTCCTCCCACCTTCAGTCTTTCCCAGCATCAGGATCTTTTCAAATGAGTCAGTTCTTCAATGGTTGGATGGCATCACTGACTCAATGGACATGAGTTTGAGTAAACTCTGGGACCTGGTGATGGGCAGGGAGGCCTGGCGTGCTGCAGTCCATGGGGTCGCAGAGTCGGACACGACTGAGCGACTGAACTGAACTGAAACCAGACCAAATAAGAAACAGGGAGGGGAAGCATCACCTACCGAAGGATCAACAGCACTCAGGTTCAACTTGCAATGACAGGTTTCTCTTTTAGACCTGAAAGCAGTCTGCTCTTTCAGGAGGGACACTGCTGGTCAGTAGCCTTGAGGAAATAGATGGCACCCTCTAATTAGGATTATCTCAGGAGGGCTCTACGGAAGGTGTTTGAGGGGGTTTGGTTTTGTTTTTAAACAAGAATATGAGCAGGCTGTATGAAAACCACGAGTCCGGACAGGACTAAGGAAAGCCAGGCTTCCGCCTCCCCCTGCAGAGTTGAGAGGAGGAAGCATTTCACCAGCACAGAGATGCAGGAGGCTGGCGGGAAAGAGGGCCACCTCCCTGGAGCTGAGCCCTTCAGCTGGAGGCCAGCCTGAGGCTGCCTGCAAGGAAGCCAGGAGAATAAAGACTCTCACCTGCTCTCTCCCCAACCCCAGCTCTGATCTGCCCTCCTGGGAGTTCAGCCGAAGCTGGAGGACAGGGAAGCCTCATGATGTGGCCGGACAGGTCAGCCCCTGGGCAAGCAGCAAGCGGGAGAAAGGTGGGATGGAGAGGAGGGGGGATTCATGGTTCAGTCAGCACCCCAGGGGTTCACGGTTCAGTCATCACTGTTGAGAGCTTCCCAGGAGACTGACGCAGCAGCATATGAATGACAGGCACGTGGGGAGCAGGGGGTGTGGAGACCACGGGGCTTCAGTGTACAATATAAGAAGAATCAGGAACTTTTACTTCTCCACAGTAGGGAATCCCCCACCTGGGTGTACATTTCGGGGTCACACCTATAATGGAACACGTAGTGGCAGCAACTCCCTGAGGAAAACGTGAAGCAGCCGGTCTTCACGAGAAGGAAAGGGTGAGATGAATTGAGGGGGCAAGAGGCATCTTCAGTGGGTGCCAAGCTGGCCCATGTCCACTTTGAAAATATTCACACTCAACAAAAGTTTGGAGATGACACATCACAGGGACCGGCTAAGAGCCGAACTGTTACAGCAGGTTGAGCTTCTCACTCTGCAGCCACGCTTTGATCTTATCAAAATTCTTGTCCATCCAACGTATGTTTTCCTCGATGGTTTCGATGGTTTGCTGAACACAGCGGAGCTGAGACCCGTTTTCCTTCAAAGAGCTGAAGAATTCTTTTACCTTGTGGGGGAAAAATTGGGATTGTAAAATTTTGTTTTCAAGTTACACAAATGTAAGTTCAGGCTAGTTCAAACTGAAGCCAGAATTCCAGCATTTGTCAAAATTCTACAGAGAAGGCAGGGCCAGGTGTCTGGATACGATTATGTACATAAACTTGAGCTCTGAAATGAGCTCATGCCTCAGGATGTCAAGTGTTTTTTTTTTTTTCTTTCTCTGCAGCTCTTAAAAACTTATTCACAGTTACCAGATTCTAAAAGACTTCGGCGTTTACCATTTTATAATTAAGTTTTAATCTTGTGTATCTATTTTATGTGTCGTCTGTGGCATAGGCACTGATGCAAACTTAACATTTTTAAACGTGTCTGAAAAAAGCAGAAGGTGCAGAATCTTCTCTTTGCCAAGCCAAACAGCTTCAGCCACATAAAGTGCGGTCTTTCTCCATGGCCCTGGCCACGTATGTTATTATAGAAACACTGCAAGGAGTGGGGTTCTTAGCAAGTTATGGTGGTAATACCCCAAACCTTGCCAATTTTTTTTTTTCTCCTAATCCACAGTTGATGTATTGTTCCCTCAAGATAAAATCCACACAATACTCCCCACGGTTTTAGAGAGATAAGAGTCGTTTGGCTATCTCCTCGAAAATATCTGCTGTTGTTTCTCTGCTGGGTGTTTTATCCCCTTTAAGCTCACAGGAGGAATAGGTTGGCTTGGCAACAGCACTGACCATTGTGCTACACTCTCTCACCGTCAAGGGTTCTTAACCTTTTCCCATAAATTTTCACAGCATTAATCCATCAATTTGTGATTTTGTAGACAGGAAGCAAGTCTCGGCCAAGATGTATTATTTATTCAGCATGGATTCCAGACAGTTAATTCCTTAAAAATCCATGTCATAATATCATAAGTTTGGGGACAGGAGGTGGGGAAGAATAGGCTTTTGAAAGATCAAATTCCAATTTTAAATGATTCAGGGTTGTTTTAAAATTAAACCTCAGTAGAACTTTTCAGTGAGCTGAAGGCATGTCTTCCCACTATAACAACCTAGAGAACACCCTACTTCATTGTCCTGTCTTAAACTGTAGCTCAACCTATTGTTTCCCTATCAGAATTCAAGATTAATTAATATGCTATTTAAAAAATCACTCTGGGCAAAATCCTGCGATAAACCATCAAGGAAAAGAATATGAAAAAAAAAAGTGTGGCTGAGTTACTTTGCTATGCAACAAAAATTAACATTGTAAATCAACTATACTTAATAAAATATAAAAAATAAAAACATCACTCGGGCACTCTTCAGTTGAATCACATCAATGGTTTTACTAATCGGTCAAATTAATTAGTCCTAAAGAAGCTTAACACAAGAGCTCTAACAAAGCCCGTAGTTAACCCCTGCCCTTCAACTTTTCTGGACCCAGATTTATCACTCCTATCTTCATCTGCCTTGGGAAATCCAGCATCTCAGCTGAAGACATAGATGAATCACACTTGCCTCCTTGAGAACATTTTCTGTGCAATGAGCAGCCTGATATATGGGTAGAGTAAATGATTTAACTTCTCCAGGACTCAGATTCCTCATCTGTAATACTGCAGAGCATTGGTGAGGACCCTGTTGTGTAATGTGGGTGAAGTGCAGAACCTAAAGCCCAGAGGGTCTAGGGACCTAAAGACCAGGGACTCACCCGCATCCATTTCTTCATGAATATTGACTCTGAGACTTACTCATCCCTCTGGCTTAATTACTGTGCAAGACACTGAGGATGAGGCCATGAGTCAGGCAAGCACCCTGTCTTCGTGGAGCTTACGGTTTGCCAGAGGCGACAAGAAGTGAACTAGGATGACTCTGCACCGCGGTGGAGAAAATAAGCCCAGGCCACGATCACAACTGGGGATGGGGGTGGCCTGCCTTTGACAAAGTGGTCTGTAGAGGTGATGACACTTGAGCTCGGGGAATTTATGCAGAATAAAATGAACCTTCCCAGTCTAAAGCTGGGGACAGAGCAAGCCAGGAAGAAGAAGGAATAAGCGTGGAGGCTTCGAGCCGGGAGAAATACCCGGTGGGGCCCAGAGGCAGGAGGAGACTGAGTGGCTGAGACGGTGAGTGCAGAAGTGTGCGGGAATGAGCCGGAGAGGTGGGCAGGGGCCAGGTCATCGTGGACTCATCCACACAGGAAGGAGAGGTTTGAGATGTCAAGAGCAACGGGCAAGAGTTCCAAGAAAGGGTCAGTCTGCCGTGGGTGGGTTTTCAGTTTTCAGGATGCAAAACAGTTTGGCGCTGGTCAAATGGCAGAAGGAAGGTCAGTCAGGAGGTTACCACCGTAGTCCCAGGCAAGAGAGGAGAAAGGCTTGGCCACACTAAGAGCAGAGAGGTGCGCAGAGGATGGACAAGCCGGAAGCAGGGCCAAGAGGACTCAGGAGGGACTGGAGGCGAGGGGAAGGATGGGCTCGGGATGGTGCCTGCATTTTAAATGTCAGCAGGATACGTTCCATCTGACAACATGTCAGGTGCTTTCATTTACATGTCCTGGCACAGGGGTTTTGTACCTGATGCTTCCTCTGCACACAACACTCTCCTCTTAGACGCCTCCATTTCCATCTGCACCTGCTCACACGTCCACTCGTCATCCCACAGAACATGGCATCATCCTTTACCCAGTCACGCACTCTCCTTCCCCTGACTTATTCATCTTCAGGGCATATAACTACCCGGCATAGGTTGATGTGTCCCTGACTGTCTGATTCTCCTGGTAGAATATAAGGTCTGTGAGGGCAGGGACTTTGTATATCCTGTTTCATCACTGTAGCCCTGACCTAAAACTGTAACTGCTGGAGAGTAAGAATGAAGTACCTCTTGAGTGAATTATTGAGAAAATAAATGATCAATCAATAAATGAAATCTTTTGTTACTGCACATCTGGTCACAGCCCCTGGTTGGTCCTGCAGTCATCACACAAAGTATCTCTGCCGTAGAGCTCACTAGAAGGTCAAGCTTGAATTATTGTGTGCAAGATAATTATACCAGCCTGGGTGAGACTACTGAAAAACTGGAGAAATAAGGGTTGTCACATTTCTTTTTTCATTTTCAAAGCAGTCTCTATCAAGCTAGATCATGGAACTACACAATTGAACCATTCCTAAGAAAGTTTATATTAGGCTCTCGGATTTTATCTAAATGCAACATTTTTAAAGCCATGTAAAATGTGTTCAACTTTACTATAGAGAACACTGTTAGAGAAGAGCCAGGCTTCCCAGGTGGCTCAGTGGGTAAAGAATCTGCCTGCAGTGCAGGAGTTGCAGGAGCTGAGGGTTCGATCCCTGGGTCGGGAAGATCCCCTGGAGAAGGCAATAGCAACCCACTCCAGTGTTCTCGCCTGGAGAATCCCACGGACAGAGGAGCCTACAGTCCATAGTGTTGCAAAGAGTCGGAAACAATTGAAGTGACTGACCACACACGTGCACCTCCACAAAATGACCCATGAAGACTGAAAAGTTTGCTTTTGTGGAAAACTTGCATGTTCCATGGGTCTCTCTTGCCTGACAATAACTCATACTGTTTTCTCATCTTTCCTTGGCTGCTAGGAAGCTGTGATAAATTTAGGGTACAATTGCAATAAATTGTCCTCAGCATAAATCCCTCATACAGTTACCTCTTTCTGAACATTATGCAGCTTTTTTGGTTAACATTATTTTATATATAGACCTTACAAGTGGCCTAAAATTCTTCCTGAAAGTAGACAGTACATAAAGTAAGTATGGGAAATCACAAGTTTGCATAGTGGAGAACTTATTTTCCAGACCAGCCTCTTTCAAAATAACTAGATGATCACTTCAGTCACTTATTCCTCCAATAATCATGTTTAACATCCTAAACAGGGATTAGATGTCTAAAGTAATTTTTTAAGCCCTAAAATTTCCAATGGCAGAGCTAAGACTTCTAAACATGTTTGAGGAGAGGCACAGCTTTCAATTATTTGTAAAATCAAATAATTTTTTGCTAAAATCAAAACCACCCTACTGAACACAACACACATCCAGAAAGAACATGCACTCAATGACAAAATTCATTTCTAACTCAGCAGGCCCTTCAAGTATTTTGCTGACCCCCTATTTATTAGATAACCTATTAGCTAACTGTCACTTAGGTTTAAAAAGAAAGCTTTTTATTTATTTATTTTACCTCTTCAAGCCGTGCTCTTGTTGAGAATTGATTTGTTGTTCCCGTTACCATGTAGGCTATGGAATTTGAGCCAAGACCAAACCTAGAAATAGAAATTGTCAAAATGTATTATGAAGTATTTGCTCATTCCATGTGTATTTTTAAGTGCCTCAACATATGTTATAGCAATCAACCAGAAACTAGTTAGGCATGAAAAAGATAAGACATGATCCTTAGCTCCAAGGGGCTAAGATCTAGTTGTAAAAAATAAACACACCAGCCACTGAATAAAAGATAAAGTACCCAAAAGAAAATGACACAAGTAACAAGTGCTACTTACAAGGGCAGATGCAATGAGCAGAAGGACTAAATAGAAGACTCGGCTTGAACTGTGCAGAAGAAGGCTTCACATAGGGCCCAGGGTACAGGAAGAGATTATTCCACGCGGCATGAAAAACTTAACCACCCAGATCCACTAGTTAGCACTGAATTAGAGTTTCACATTTTCTAAGGATATTTTGGGTACCTCTAGCTCCTATCTTCAATAAAAGAATCCCTCTAGATAACCCCTATTATTTGACAGACTCGGCTAAAACACAGCGAGTTTCAGGAATTCTTCCCAGTCACAGCACAGTTTTTGGCACGACTTACTTTTGCACAAGTTTGTTCCAGTTTTCCCTCAGAAACTGCCAGGCCAACGGATATCCCACTGGGTTTCTGCCAATAGCTCTAAGAATATTTGGAAACTCTTGAGTTTTTATTACATCTCCCTTAAAACTTTGATCTAGTAGCCTAGAATGATTAAGAGACATGTTAGCAATGAAGAGGCCCTGAAAAAGTTCTGAACTTTTTAATACAATGATTTGTGAAAGAAAAAAAAGCTGATCTAGGTTATAAAAGAGCCCTGAGAAACTCACTATAGCTACATAATAATAAAAACTAACATTTATATTTACAACACCCCTTCTCATATATTCTCTTTTTGCTCACAAGTGGCTAAATAAGTATACCAAGTATATATTTCTAAATGTGTTAAAGATACACAAATACATACTCCCCAAAATATTTTTCCTGACACCCGCTGCTCCCTAATTATTTACCATACACATTAGATGTGCGCCCTCCTGCATAAATGTTCCCAGCAGAAAACACGGTTCCTGGCCAAGAGAACAAAAATAGATGCCAGAAGGATCTGCTCCCATTTAATTTCTTTTGGCTATATGAACATGAATGAATTACTCACCATTGAAGCTTTTCTTTATTTTGGCTGATACAGAGAGCAAATTCAATTTGGTTTTTCTCGGTACTGGACAATGATGACTGGTATTTACTATAAAGAAAATCCCATCCTTCGAGGGTCTGGGCCCCCACAGCAAACACTGCCAAGGTCACATCGTCGGGCAAGCTGTGAAAAAGAACACACCAAGGGTGAGTCAAGGATGAAGAAAGTGTGTTTGCAGGCAGGAGACTTACTTATTACAAAATGATAAACCAGCTCCACAATCAGAGACATGTGCTCGGAAATGTAAACAAAAATAACCTCTTTCCTTCAGTAACATTTTATAAAGAGGCAAGAAAGAGTAATTGAAATTAGGTTTTAAGTAGCTTTCTCAAAAATATACTGTGAAATGCCATTTCTTTAATTTTTTCTTATGCCACTTCTTTAAATACATCTGTTTCTAACATACTTGAATGATGCCAAGTGACTCAATAGGTAGTCAATTTCCAAGACAAAAGAAAAATAAATTCAAACTAGACTTAAAATGAAGTCCATGAACAAAAGTCAGGAACCCAATAGGACCACTGTTTGTAGGCACTTCTTTAAATGCAAGTATGTATATTGTTGGCTTAGTATTTCCTGCATGGGATTTAAGCCGCAAACATAAAAGGACTTGACCCCGGCCCCATATCCCTCTGTGTCCCCTCCCCACCTGTCAGGAGCTTGAGAGGCCTGAAAAAGCTACTATGAGAGGCACTGCCTCTGCTCCTGTCTAGCATAGCTGTCTTAGTTCTAATAAGGTTTTGTATCCTTCTGTGCACTTAGTCATGTCTGACTTTGCTAGGCTCCTCTGACCGCGGGATTATCCTGGCAAGAACACTGTAATAGGTTGCCATTTTCTACTCCAGGGGATCTTCCCAACCCAGGAATCGAACCTGTGTCTCTTGCGTCTCCTGCATTGGCAGGCAGGTTCTTTATCACTTGAGACACCTGAGTAAGCCACCTTTGTATCCTTGAAGTGAAGTGAAGTGAAAGCTGCTCAGTTGTATCCGACTCTTTGCCGCCCCGTGGACTATACAGTCCATGGAATTCTCCAGGCCAGAATACCAGAGTGGGTAGCCTTTCCCTTCTCAGGGGATCTTCCCAACCCAGGGATCGAACCCCAGTCTCCCACATTGCAGGTGGATTCTTTACCAGCTGAGCCACAAGGGAAAGTCCTTTTGTATCCTTGGCTATACCAAAATAACCCAGTAAATATTCTAATCCCATTCTAACTGTTCAGATATTTGACTTTTGTGCATAGAGGTTTCCTCTTAGCATTTCTTCAAGCAGAAAGTTGAGAGGGGCGTAGATAATCTAAAAGAAAAAAAAAATTATTTTCCTTAAAGAGCACCAGAACAGTCTGATCTATACTTGTTTCTTTTTTGCCACCAACATTGAGCCATGATGATGGAACACAGAAAAGATACCCCTTACGTGAACAAACTGCTGCTGATGCTAAGTCACTTCAGTCGTGTCCGACTCTGTGCGACCCCATAGACGGCAGCCCACCAGGCTCCGCTGTCCCTGGGATTCTCCAGGCAAGAACACTGGAGTGGGTTGCCATTTCCTTCTCCAGTGTATGAGAGTGAAAAGTGAAAGGGATGTCACTCAGACGTGTCCGAGTCTTCACGACCCCATGGACTGCAGCCCACCAGGCTCCTCCGCCCATGGGATTTTCCAGGCAAGAGTACTGGAGTGGGGTGCCATTGCTTTCTCCGATAAGCAAGCTAGTTGCTCAATAAAAACAGACCTCAGGTTTCCATCGGCTTCCTGCCACTGTCTGAAGTAGCCTTCTGCCTTCTGCACGCAGGGCTGGTACTTGCGCACGCAGGCGAGAAGCAGCAGCTGACTCCGCAGCACTCGCTCCGACACGGAGCCCTCGTCCGTCCACGTCTGCTTGTCAATGAGGTCCCTCAGTAGCCTGATGAGGAAGGCCTGCGGGAAAGCCACACCTGCCACCAGTCACCTCGGGAAAGCCACACCTGCCACCAGTCGCCTCGTGGTTTACAGAGCTCAGTACTCCCTCGGGGGATGGGCGTTGCTTCTTAAAGCTCAGTCCAACCCAGACTTTCAAAACCTTGCGGTTCGGTTTCTATTTAATTATTAAAGGGGTCAAAAGCAAGAAATGATGAATGATTCGAGTATTTCCCTAACCATCTTATAGACATGTACTTAGTCTACTTAAAATCAGGATGAGCTGCCACTTTCAAAACACACTAAAAGAGACAGTTAATGCGACATTTTGAGAGCAAATTATACAATGAGACTTCATGACATTTTGCCAAAAGTAACAAGTGCGTGCCTCCTGCTTGAGGGCCTGAGTCCCAGGAAATCTTAAGAGCAACCATCCCAATACAGAAGTAAAATGACATAAAGAATCAGCCACATGAGGGAATGACAAGCCCCTGAAACTTAAGAACAGGGTCTAACCGTGCCAGGCCTGTTTTTAGTGCCAAAATAAAACCAAAATCTTCATGGGTCAACTCAGGTATGAAGATAATTGCGATTTTCTTTAAAATGTATCCAGATATGTATATAAAATATACACCACAGTAAGAAATCTTTTCCACACCCACACCAAAGCAAACTGGTTATCTAAAAACTATTCAGTTTATTCCAGCCTTTTACCTTGAATTGAGTTTCCACTTCATTCATATCTCTCTTCTCCATTAACTTATATATCGGTATCAGCTCATTCAAACCTTGAAACACTGGCATGATTTCAGTTTCATGCTTCAGGTACAAGGTTAAATCCAAGGCTTTTTCAATCGACAGCTTTCCAATGCTGATCAAGAGACACCGGGGTTAGCAGTTTGAAAGAAACATCCAGGAAATCAACTGTTTGCCTCAAAAGTTATTTTAACAAGCTTCCAGCAAGATGTTCAGTCATATATAGACAACTCCTAACAGATAATCACCTCCACACTAACAGCTTTCCTGTCACATATAACACAACATGTGATATGTTTGCCCTGTGAAAGAACTTTCTCGAATAGTAGCGCTAACCACATATAATATATATAATGTAATGTAATGCAATATATTATATAACCACATATAATAGCGGAGCTCTCCTGGTTGTGGTTAAGATGCAATTACAGCAGGTCAGCATCTGTCCCTCTAGGAAACATCGGACCTTGCTGGACTGCCAGAGTGAACCGGGAACTGTGATCAAAGATCCCTCAGGAAGCTTCACCAGAGAGGCTGCCCCTCAGTCACCAGAATGAGTCCGTGGAGTTAGCACATCCTCATCTCCGTTTCAAAAAGAAACTGAATAAAAGAATAGACTTTGGACTCTGTGGGAGAAGGCGAGGGTGGGATGATTTGAGAGAGTAGCATTGAAAGATGTATATGACCATATGTGAAACAGATCGCTAGTCCAGGTTCGATGCATGAGACAGGGTGCTCAGGACTGGTGCACTGGGATGACCCAGAGGGATGGGATGGGGAGGGAGGTGGGAGGGGGTTCAGGATGGGGAACACATATACATCCGTGGTGGATTCATGTCAATGTATGGCAAAAACCACCACAATTTTGTAAAGTAATTAGCCTCCAATTAAAATTTAAAAAATTTTTAATTTTTACAAATTAAAAAAAAAGCAATAACAAAACAAAAAGAAACTGAATGTAGATCTAAAAAATTCGTCATTATAATGAGAGTTGGTCTTAAAAGCCTCAGTGGTAGGGTACCTGTGCGCATGTAAGTAAACACAGTGATTTAAGCAGTGGTGCGCTGTGGAGGGGATTATATATATTCAGGCAGGCAGAAACGGCTTCATAAGTAACCCCTATCTTTATCCCCCACTGCTTTCTGTCACCTCAAGAAGCCCCCAAAAAGGAAAAACTCAACATTTTAGAGCCGAGTGACATGGAGGCTGAGAATCACAGTATTCTCTCCCATGTGGGGGATTCCTCTTAGACCTCACTTCTACCTAAAGAGTGAAGAAGTTTGAGTTTTAGGCAAGGGGAAGATTTCCTGAAAAGCCAATGCTAGGGGCAAAAAAAAGTGAATATTATCCTCACCCACTCAAAGGTCATTTGGCTGGACCATGTTCTATGAGCTACATGCCATAAAGATGTTGTGACGTCCAGGCATCCAGCTTGGGTAGCATGGGGATGGGACAGGGGAACTGCTCTCCTTTAGTCCAAGAGATGTAATGATGACAGCTTGGGTCTGGGCGACCTTAGTCTTCTAAGAAGCCTTCACCCAGCAGGGAGAAACCCGATCTGTTACATACAGCAAGGCCAGGAAAAGCTGCAGGGCTAGGCTTTAAAGGCCAGGCAAGGGGCTTTTCTGGGATGTCAGTCTCCCGGTTTTCTACACTTCTGCCTTCATCTGATCCAAGTTGTTAATCAAAAAGATTAAAATACAGATTCCTTTCTTTACCTCAGTCCTCAGTAGACACAGATAGGAGGTAATCCTGAGGCTAAAAGCAGCAACCCTGAATTGTTAGGAGAACTTGGGAGAAAACATCCTTCAACTTATTAGCAATCAATCATTTTCATCTTTAAAAATCAAAGATTTGAATGATAATAGCAGCTTTCAGGCATAAACCACGACTGTGAGGGGGGATTGCATTACCTGACAAGCTGAAATGCATTGTTAATGAGACTGGCCCGATCGTTACTGCTGATTGCCGTGTGTGTTTCTTTTAAAAGGCCAATCAGAGAGTCCCATCCATCATCCTCATAATGCACAATGTAATAGCCATTCATTCTGACATTAAATTTGATCCATTCCACCTCTTCTGGGAGGATGAGCACATCTAGAGCAAATAAAGTAAATCACAGCTCGGTTTTCTCTCTTGACTGGTAAAAGCTTTTCTGATCACAGACTAGACAAGGAAACTAAAGGCAGGTTTAATACCCAACAACTTTAATACTGAAATGAGTTTCATATTGAACACACTGCTTTTAGAAACCAGAAAACAGCATCCCAATAGGCAAAAGCCAATACTAGTTTAAGACACGAATTTTGTCAGATTTATAGATTTGGGAGAACATTGCCATGTTTCAGGCCACATGTATGATACAGCCCATCAGTGTTAAAGTCAGGGGTGATTTTTCGAAGTGTCTCTCCCCCTCAGCGTTATATAACTGAACAGTTTTATTCCTTACCTGGCAAGATATTGGCCTTCTTTTTTGCAACCGGACAGTATTTTCAAACCTATATTCTTTACTAGAAATTGAAAGTCAGGGATCTGCCGAAGATGAAGTCTGACCCAATCGTTTTTGTTTTAACCAAGATAAATACCCAGGAAAACTGATTATTTAAATCTTATACATTTAAACAGTTCCTTCTTGAAGTAAGCTAGTTAGGTCCACAATAAATTACCTGTTCTTGTCTTTAGCAAAAAGCGCTGGACTGCGTCTGATTTGCTGGTAATGTATGTCAGTGGGACATGCCACAGGAACCTAAGAAAAAGGAAGACAGACAGGTCTCTTGCTGATTCAATGCAAGCAGTTCCTAAATCACCTACCATGTGCCAGGCGCTGGCTTGTTCAAAGAAAGATGGTACCCAAAACAGCAAGAGTTAAGAGCTCAAAACATCCCCAGCCCATTTCCAGCTTTGTGGGAGCTGCCAGTTCGGGTTCAATTCATTCTTCTTGGACTCCTTGAATAGAGCTAGGAATCTGGGCGCAAGGGAGCCCTGATAGTCTCATAGGGATCTCAGGGGGCGTGACTATAAAAGTGAGACCACCAGAAGTGGAGGAGTTGACAGCATGTGCCTTCTACTAAATCCTATACTCAGGAGACCACAGCATCACTTCTGTGGAATTCCTGCCAAGGATGCACAAGCTGAATCTGATTGTGAAAAAAAATAGCAGAAAACCCAAATTAAAGGACATTCTTTAAAATAGCTATCCTCTACTCTTCAAAAATATCAAGGTTAAGAAAGACAGACTGAGGAACTGGTTCAGAAATCAAAGAACTAAAGAGATGTGACAAGAAATACAATCTTATCCTATATTAAATCCTGAACCAGGTTTTTTTTTTTCTTTTTGCTATAAAGACAAGATTAAGACCACTGAGTAAAGTTGACTAAGGTTGATACATTTGATAATAGTATTGTATCAAGTTCATTTCATAATTTTGATAAAGGTTCTGTGATTATATAAATCAATTTTCTTCTTTTTAGAAAATACTACTTATGACAAGTAGAAGGGGAAATAGTGGAAACAGTGACTGATTTTATTTTCTTGGGCTGCAGACAGTAACTGCAGCCAGGAAATTAAAAGATGCTTGCTCCTTGGAAGAAAAGCTATGACAAACCTAGACAGCATATTAAAAAGCAGAGACATTACTTTGTCAACAAAGATCCATATAGTGAAAGCTATGATTTTTCCAGTAGTCATACACGGATGTGAGAGTTGAACCACAAAGAAGGCTGAGTGCTGAAGAATTGATGCTTTTTAACTGTGGTGTTGGAGGAGACTTCTGAGAGTCCCTTGGACAGCAAGGGGATCATACCAGTCAATCCTAAAGGAAATCAACCCTGAATATTCACTGGAAAGACTGATGCTGAAGCTGGAGCTCCAATAATTTGGCCACCTGATGCGAAGAGCCAATTCACTGGAAAATACCCTGATGCTGGGAAAGATTGAAGGCAAACGGAAAAGGGGACAGCAGAGGATGAGATGGTTGGATGGCATCACTGACTCAATGGACATGAGTTTAGTAAACTCCGGTTGACAGTGAGGGCCAGGGAAGCCTGGCATGCTGCAGTTTATGGGGTCACAGGGTTGGACATGACTTAACGATTGAACAACACACTGAAGCATTTCATAATGAAGAGGAATCATGTCTCCAGCTTACTCTCAAACAGTTGAAAATATATGTTTGCCATATATACAGAGGGAAATAAAGATCATATTTTTTGGAATTGTTTTATATTTTAGGTTATATGTAGACATATAAATGTGGTGAAGAGTTAACACATATCTGGGCCAAGAATATACGGGAATTCTTTGCTCTCCTTATAACTTCTCCAGAGGTCTGAAATCATTAAAAAAAAAAAAATTTAAATAGTGTCCGTCCAGCATCAGTCAAGCTGCAGTGTCTCATTTCCAGCAATGTCCTCTGTAGTGTTAAGGTGACAAACAGGTTTGGGGATCCAAATCAGACTGGCAAAGAAGAGAATCAAGTCTCTTGCATTTCCCGAAAATCACCTAAATGTTTACGTCCTGAGATCCAACCCTACTGACAGGCACTGCTGTAATCTAGTGACAAATGCTTAGAGCTGACTTCAATCCAGTAACTGAAAATTACCATCATGTCTAACTACAAACCATGAGAATGTTAAAGTAATTATGTATCATCTTTATCCTTTTGAAAAGATGGTGGTGTGTAAGTCAAATTCACAGGGCATTTAGATTTGATTAACGTGTTTTGCAACAAAGGTAAGGGCACTAGTTCAAAAATAAGGGTTCATCCTACCAGGCAGACATCATTATGGAGGCACCAGACGAGATCCCCTGTGGACATTACCCGGTTTCTGGGGCATCGGCCACGCCCTTCGCATAGGACTCTTGCTTCATGTGTACGTTCCTGCCTCTCACACTGACGGTTATCAGCGGAAAGCCCTTCTGCAGCGTCCAGGTGTTCATCATGGTTTTCACATCAAGGCCTTCCCGCCGCCAGTGCTGCTTTATGAGAAAAAGGCAGGTACGTGAACTACTCGGCCCCGCCTCTGAGAAGACAGCCCAAGCTTGAGCTTGCAGGGGCCATGGCCAGTGAAGCTCTTCTCTGCCCCTTCCTCTGCTCCCAGCCCCCAGCCCGCTCCCTTCCCCTGCTGGCTCCAGCCATAGCATATTCACCAGAGCACCCACTATTCGCTTTCATTCTCTCCCTTTCTTCTGCCTTAAAAACAGGTACCATACCGGGTTCTCCTGGGCAGACCTTGGGTTTGGCATTGGCACAAGAGCAGGCATGGGTATGAAGGCAGGGAGAGAAAGGACAGAAAGTGGCCAGGTGTGCACCACCTACGCAAGGATGCTGTCCATCCAACAAGCAAGGTGGGGGGAAAGTGCTCCATCGAGAGCCCGTACTTCCCAAGTGATGAAACTGACGTGGCCCGCAACCCAACAGCCAGCCATTAACTCAAACGAGGATTTAGTCTTCGAACTAAAAAAGCTTTCAAATAATATTTAAGAGCTAATGAAAGGATAAAACATTCCACGGGACACATCTAGAAACTACAGAATAAATCTGTCTCTGAAAGCAAAACAGCCAAGAAAATAAAAATCGAGTGGATACAATTCTGTTGAATCTCTAGGCTCACATTGAGTTACCTGTGAAAATATTCCACAAGGCCAGATAAACAGAGACTCAGGCTGCTTTGTGATTCAGGTGTTATGAATTCTTTATAGCTTAGCAGTTAAAGACATGAGTTAGATCTCAATTCAAATCCCCGCTCTGCAATTTACTAATCATATGCCTTTGGATTTCATTTCCCCAGCTGTAAAAATAGGGGTAATAGCATTTGCTCATAGGCTTATTGTTAAGAATAAAGCAGATTATACACGTAAGTGCTTCACACGTGCCTGACACATCGTAAGTGCCTGAGAATGCTCACGCCATCTATGTTTTTTTTTTTTCCCACAAATGAAGGGCTATGGAAACAATTGACACAGCCTGATGGATATAGCCCTAATCTACCACAGAAGCACGTCATAAATCTACTGCTTTACAGAGAGTGAAGCTGAAGAAATTAATATCAGTGAGATAATGTTACCAAAGAAGGCTGGACAACTTCCTTGTATAGAGACACTTAAGAAAAACTGTAAAAGGCTGTCACTCTGGTATAGTTTAAATGCAGCCTTATCTACAGAGAGACTGATACGATCCAGGATCTCAGAAAGCTTGGCACAGAGCTATCCTTCAAAGAAAATGGAATAAAAGGATGAGCTTTGGGGTAACACATACAGATGTGAAAACTTACCGCAGATGAAGATGAATGTTCACCTCTAGAACAAAATCCATCCATGTGTTGTGTGTCATCTGTAGGGCAAATCTAAAAACCAAAAATAAACACATCACTCAGTCCTTTTAAAGAAAGAAACCACTCGTGATTCTTCTCAAAAGAATTAATGTGGTACAGAACAGAAACAAAATAAGGCAATGAGCCTGTCAACCCCAAACACAGAGATACATGAAAACATACTCACGCTTGCCATAGTATTCCACAGGTCCTCGTTTTTTGTGTTTTTATAGCTATACTTCTGCAGATACTTTATGATGCCACTTTTAAATGCGTCGGCACCAAGATAGTCCCTTAGCATATTCAGAATACAAGCTCCCTGAAAAGACCATATAAATAATTGTTAGCTGGAGTCCACCTCCGTCTCATCTACTGTCACTATGTTGGAGCCGTTCGTTAACATGCAGATGCCGTAACATTTTTAGTGTCTGATCACTTGTGGAACAATTGGAAAAAGCGAGTTACACCTGGACCGATTGAGGCGGGGGATCAATACGACTCTTCATGCTTTAGTCACCGGGACTGCTATTTTTTGTCAGTATTCAAGCTTCCCTATCATCTGCCGGCTCCCATGATTCGCAGGCGATGATGCAGAATAAACACGGGACTTTGGACCACCACGTGGCTCTCCCACCGCCCCTCTGGGGCAGGAGTGGGGAGAGATGAAATCAAAGGTGAGAACAGGTGAGAAATGGCAAAGTCCATTTGGCAAGAACTGGCAGCCTGAGCACAGAGACCTGGCCCAGCAAGAGCAACGTGAGAAAGCGGGCACGAGAACCCCTAGACACTGCACTCCTGTGATACGAGCTTTTCCCCTCCTCGCCCACCCTCCTAGATCACGGGTCACAAACTCAAATACCTCCAGTGGTCAGACAGGTGACAAACGAGGGACAGAGTCCAAGGATGAGAAAAATGCTCACACGTTCTTTGTCTCCGCCTGAACTTTTCATACGACTAACCACCAAGAACGTTTCCTCCTTCCCTCTTGCTCAAAACACCACCCTGAGTCTTCTAGGAAATCATGATTCCCCCTTCCTAGGAAACCCTTCCTACTTCACGTCCTGTAAAGCCCAATTCATCTGTAAGACATAACTAAAAATCTCCATTCCAAGAGAATGTCTTAGGTCCCCTCAAGGTAGAGACAGTCTCTCTCTGGTTCTAGGAGATGGTAGGGTCCCTAGATGGGCAGAGCCTGGGTCCTTGAAGGTCTGCATTGAGTGCCTATCCCTGCCAACAGGACAAGGATCTGTGAGATATAATTCATGGAGGTATAATCAATGTACAACATTAGTTTCAGGCATACAATACCTGCATACACTGCACAAGGATCACCGTAATACACCTTGTTAACACCCATCACGACACGGTTACAATTTTTTTCTTGTGAGCAGGACTTCTAAGATTTCCTCTTAGCAACTTTCAAACACACAGTTCAACGCTATTAACTACAGCTCCATGCTGTATGTTATATCCCTATGATGTATTTTATAACTGGAAGTTTTTACCTTTTCACATCTTCACCTGTCCCTAAGCCCCTGGCAACCACCAATCTATGAACTCACTCTTCATGTGTTTTTGCCTTTAGATTTAGCGGCTAAGTGAGGTCATACAGGATTTGTCTGACTTAATTCATTTAGGATAATGCCCTCAAGATTCATCCATGTAGTTACAAGCACCCAGCTTTCCTTTTTCTATGGCTGAATATTCCACCATGGAATGGACACTTATGGAAACATCTATCTGGCCTACTGTAAGGTTGCCAGAAACACGGGGTGCATGTCTCTCTTTTAGCTACTGTTTTTGTTTTCTTTGAATACCTCAAAGTAGAATTGCTGGATATGATATCTCTATTCTGTAATACCTTGTTTTCTATCCTGTTTTCCATGGTGACCAGACCCATTTACATTCCCACCACAGTGCACATGGGTTACCTTTCTCCACATCTTCTCAATACTTGCTATTCATCTTTTTGAGACTAACCATTCTAACAGGTGTGGGGGGATGTCTCATTGTGTTTTGACTTGCATTTTCCCAATGATTAGCGATGTTGAGCACTTTATAATGCACCTATTGGTCATATGTTTGTCTTTGTAAAAGTTTCTATTCGGTTCTTCTGCTTTTAAAATCAGATTTTTTTTACTCAGCCATTACAAAGAATGAAATAATGCCATTTGTAGCAACACAGATGGACCTGGAAATTATATCATACTAACTGAAGTAAATCAAGACAGAGAAAGACAAATGTCATATGATATTGCTTATATGTGGAATTAAAACAAATGATACAAATGAACATATTAATAGACTCACAGAGAACAAACTTATGGTTATCAGGAGGGAAGGGTGGTGGGGAGGGAGAGATTGGGAGTTTGGGATTGACATGCACACAATGCTATATTTAAAATGCCTTTCCATGAAAAGAATTTAAATTAAAAAGTAAAATGCAAAAAAAAAATAAAATCAGATTGTTTTCTTTAGTAATCAAGTTGTATGAGTTTTTCATATATTGTGGATACTAATCCGTTGTCAGACGTATGGTTTCCAAATATTTTCTCCCATTCAGTAGGGAGAAAATTAAGGTACAGAGTGCAAACTTTTCACTTTGTTCTTGTTATGCACATGGTTTTTAATTTCACGTAATTCCACTTGTTGATTTTTGTCTTTGTTGCTTATGCACTTATGCTTTGGGTGTCATACATAAAAAAACAAAAATCACTGCAAAGACACATGTCAAGAAACTTTTTCTATTTTCCATTTAGGAGTTTTATGGTTTCTGATCCTAACATTTAAGTCTTTAATTTATTTCAGGTTAGTTTTTGTGACTCATTTAAAGTGGTGCAGTTTTATTCCCTTTGTATATGGTGTCAGAAGAACTAAATGATCATTTATTTAAGAGACTCCATTTACCATTGTGTATTCTTGGGTCCTTTTTCATAAGTGAACCTTATATTCATGAGTTGATTTCTGGGCTCTGTTCTAGTCCATTGATCTATGTGTGTGTTTATATGTCTGTTTTATGTCTGCTTTTATCCACTCTGCACTATTGATGGGAACATGCAAACATGAAATACTTTTCTCTTTGTTACACATAAAGCAGCCAAGCTTTACGATAAATGACACATTCTCTGCCTCGGTGAGGATAATGGAAATGGTTGATAATGGAAGGGAAAGTGGAAAAGCAGAATCCTGATCTCATTAAGGAGCCATGACTTATCTCCAGTCCATATTGCTAAGGGAAATAAATAGAAGCCTGGTATGACCACAATTCTTTCTCCTTCAAAGAGAAGCCAGAAATATGGATTTTTATATAAAATCTCCCAACTATTACATGTTGGCAACAATTTCCAGTTCTTTTATTAAACACATTTTGCTTGACAACTGTTTCTGAAGGCACCCAAAGCTACAAAAGGGCAGGTGCTTTTGCCTGGTACAAAGCTAAAGCCCAATCAAGACCTATATGTTGAAGGATAAATTAAAAGTTTCTGTAGTCTGTGAATATTCACTTACGACAGTAAAGGATGAAGAGGCAACAGTTTAATCTTTAGGATTTTAAGCCATACTTAAAGTTAGGCCTTAAAACAGTTGACGCCGGGCAGCCTGAGTGAGAAGAGAAAGCCTTCAATCCAGGTCAGTCTTTATGAAGGGAAAATCACCCCACAGCCCCAGCTATAGCCTCTCCACTTCGTAAGTTCCGTGTGCATACTGTGTCCTTATAATACATTTTTACCTTGTCATAAGAAACTTCATCAAACATCTCCCGAATCTGAGCAGGATTCTCCACGGGTGTGGACACAGGGTGTGAGGAGTTTAATGCATCCACTTCCATTGCATCGAAACACTTACCAAAGAAATAATCTTCCTATTAAGATAGAAAGACAACATCGCCAATGATTCACATTTAGATCAAAAAATATGAAATGAGGCTGGCTTGATGTTGGATAATAGGTTTACACTCCAAATTTCTGATGTGACCTATTATATATCTAAAGAATTTACAAAATTAAATAGAATTATCTGCTAAGGAACAGACAGGAAACAATGATTTTAGATCAATATTGAAAATTTGTTTAAATACTTATCACCTTAGAATAAAGAACATTCCTATTAAAAATAAAAACATTATGCCTACAGCCCAATAGTACCCAAATATGAAACTAAAATATATAATAATTTCAGTATCTCCAGTCTTCATCTATACTATTTTTTGTAAATTAATTAATTTATTTTAATTGGAGGCTAATTACTTTACAGTACTGTAGTGGTTTTAAAGCAAAGAAATTTAGCTTTAACCATGTAGTGAAAGAAAAAGCAATGGAGAACAAATTCCAACTATAATCTAATTAGGGCATATTACACAATAAAACAATAAGCAAACATAATCATCTTTATTCTTAAAGACTATATGGAAACAGGAAAACACTTATTATGATCCACTATACTGTAATCAACCCACTCTAGTACTCTTGCCTGGAAAATCCTATGGATGGAGGAGCCTGGTAAGCTACAGTCCACAGGGTCACAAAGAGGCAGACGCGACTGAGCGACTTCACTTTCACTTTCTTTTCACATATAAGTTGTGTATATAGGAAGATGAAAATGGAAATATGAATATGTACAAATGAAAATTAAAATATGGTAAAGGATTGTTTTTACATAACGTTTCTTTTTAATTATACTGCATTTGATTTTCACAAGTTAAACACATGACTTTTGAAATCATCATGTAGAGATTCCAAAGCATTAAGTTTGTGACCCATGAGTCTAGGTTATTATACAATCAAATGGACAATTATCTCAAAGCTCATTTGATTTGGCAAGGAGGACCCTATTGAAATAATATCAATCTGTACTTAATACTTCTTCAGTGAACAGCCTGAAGATGGGAAAGTGATACAGAACAGACAAGTTGTATTATTTCCATTTCTTTGACATTCAGGGAGGACAATTTAGTACTAACTTCATAACTCACAGATTTGGAAATAAGCAACTGAGTTTGGAAATAAGTCTTTGTGAAATATCTTTAAAGTACACTAGCATTCTGGAAACCTGATTCATATTTAAACTCCCAGGGAGGTTATCAATCTTTCTATAAATTCCATAATCAAGCATTGGTAAATATAATATTTTCCAGCAACAGATTAACCTAAAATATATTAAAAAAAAAAAGTAAGTAAATAAAACTTACAACTTTCAGTTCTGGATGAGTCACACTGACTGACACGAACTCCATAAACTTGGCAAATCCCTCATTTAGCCAAAGATCATTCCACCATTCCATAGTGACGAGGTTCCCAAACCACTGAAAGGAAAATATTACTCAGGTTATTCATAGATTTCTATGGCAACTGGATTATCTACACGGCTGTAAACGTCAAACATTCAGAAGGAAATATATTCTACATGTGTGATGTCAGTATATGAATGTTAACATATTTATAAAGCTAATATTTTTTCAATGTAAAAAGAAAAACTTTTCAATATGTATTTTAAAAACATGGTACCTAATGTTTTAAAGACATAAATTTTCCTCTGGGAGAAAAAAGACAAAAGTAAAAATGAATCCATAGAATTCATATGTCGATATGAATAGCCTATGTCCCAGAAGAGCAATAAAAACATAGTTTATACTTTTTTGAAAAGTGTGATTGAGCTCATATACCTGGTGGGCGAGTTCATGAGACACAACCATCGTGATGCCGAGCTTACTTGAGGCGGAAGACTTCTCAGCATCAAACAGTAGAGAAGATTCCCTGTATGTTGTTAGCCCCCAGTTTTCCATTGCACCAGACTGAAAGTCAGGAATCGCGGCGAGATCTTGGGAAGGAAACAAAAAACATCTTATCAGTCTTAACCTACACATGGTCCAAACACACTAACTCTCAGGATGGATGGATGCAGGGATCAAAGAAAAAGTAAGTGACCCACACAGAATCTTGGATTCTGGACTGAAGAACCTCTCATAGTTAAGTAAAAGGGCTCAGGGGCTCATTCAGAGTTACTCTGCTGCTGCGTGACAAAGTTATGCTTGGGTTTCAGACCTCCTGACTTCATTTCTAATTCTCTGACAAGGGGTTTGGGGACTGGACAATCTTAAAAATTGTCTCAATAATGCACTCTAGCTTGGATGCCCAAGACTTTCACACACCTAAAAACTCAAACACATAATAGTTTGAAGAGCTCATGTAAGAAAGAAAAAATGCAGATTTTCTTATGCTGTATCAGGGAATTCATTGGAAAAATGTGAGTACTCTACATTCCTACCAAATGCGTGCCAATCACGGAAAAAAATGCAGCCTTTGTCCTTTGCTATCTGCCCACTGATAGAGTTGTGTTTGTCTTTAAAATCAGAAGGCAAAAGTATCCCCATGCCACATGCCTCAAAAATCTGCTGGGGTTTTAATGACTTGAGAGGCTGCTGAGCTGATGGGGGAAGATGCCAGTTAGGAAGATATAGTCTACTGCTGGGGTCATTAAATGCCAGTTTGTAACATCTGTGCAAAATCTATACCTTGTTTGGGTAACGGATATGGGATGCTGAAATAATCCTCATAAAATTCTAGAAGAGTCGCGGCAGCATTCAGTGCATAATCTGCCTGATTTATCTTGTCTGGAACAGTATATACGGAAACCTGGAGAGGAAGACACAAGGAAGTTATCCAAATTCCATCGTGGCTTTTCTAGAAGCCTTACATTAACAGCTTCCTAGTATGGGATACGGTTGCCAGTATATTAAAGATGACAATTGCAGGCTGCTATTTCTTATATTGATGCTGATTGTTCTCGATCAATCCCCCTACTGAAAACAACAGATGATGGGTAACAAATAAAAAACTGTCTTCCTAAATGTTTACACAAGACAGTGAAAAGGTGAAGACAACTTAGCTTCCCAAACTGAAGTGACAGCAGGACCCTGGGAAGTCAGCAGAAGGTCACTGCAGCCAGCTTTTGCCCTGAGGACACTAGCCCACTACAGATGGACTTGAGCTGAGGTCTTCATGGCACTGAAGAGCTCGATAGGGAAAGGAGACAAAATCCAGAACCTGCTCAAGCTGGGTAGGAGATGTCCCCTGTATAAAGCTAGATCCCAAAGGACCAAGCCCTTACTGGAAGTCTAAACTAGAATCACCAAATTCCTCCAGGAAACTGTAAGGGGGGAAAAATGCCTTATTCAAACCCTGGTGATGTATGAGGAATAGTGAGAGAATCTCCTCAGAGAATTTATGGCTAAAAGCTAAACTTCATGCTGTCTAACAGCTGAACTCACAATAAAACCAGGTGGTCCAAAACCCTGAAGCCAATAATGTAAAGTGATTCCCAAGGCTGCAAAGTCTCCGGGTCACTTGACAGGAGCAAAATACAACTTCTCTCTGGAAAAATTCGCCTTCAACTCAGGTAAGAAAAGCTCAGAGACACAATTCACAGTACACAGCATAAAGGAACAAGACACGAACGAGTGCCAGGAGAAACAACAAATCACAGGACCAGCCTTCATATATGAACCAGAACAAGACTCCATATATGACAACATCTAGACACGATATAAAGGGTGAGTTTAATGTGTTAAAGAAAGAAAATGACTAAAATTATTGGCACACAAAAGGGGTCTGGGACCCAATTCCAATGTAGATATATGTGAGAGGGGGCGGTTCCCTCACACCTCCAAGGAACATTCCAACACCAGCTGGGTATTCCACAATTCAGTTCCATGCTGACACTCCTGGTGTGAGAACATCATTCTACAGGATTCGGTCTTACAAGCCTGCTCCCTAACCTGATTTCAGATGCCAATCAAAAGTGCAAGTTATCACCCATGCTTCTGACTTAGCAGCAATTGGGTGGAGGTTCCCAACCCCCTTCTTGAGTTTAATTTGCTAGAGCAGCTCACAGAACTCAAGAGTAACATTTTACTCTACAAGATTCACAGTCCATTATAAACAAACATAACTCAGGAATGAACAGCCACCCTGGGAGAGGTGCCGTAGGATGAGATACGGAAAAAGGGAATGTAACGACCATGGCCTCTCCTACCAAACCACGTTCCCTACACCTCCACTGGTTCACCAACCCGGAAGCTCCCAGGAGCCACCCTTTGAGTTTTCATGGAGTTTTCACAACACAGGCATAAATAATTGACCCTTGGTGATGAAACTCAGTCTCCAGTCCCAACTCTCCCATCACATCGTTGGTTCCCAGTCAACCAGCCTTAGTTAGGTTACCTAGGAAATTTTTATTAACAAAACAAGAGATAATACTTATGGTTCTCAACACATAGGACATTCTAAGAGTTTTAGTGGCTCTGAGCTTAATCAAGGATGAAGACCAAATACATATTTCTTATGAATTACAAAATCACAGTATGAAAGACACATAGAAATAACCATTCAAAAAGGACTCGTTGAAGTGGGCAAGTCAGTGAGTGGGTGTTTTTGCTGTTAATTTCACTGCTGAACTTAGATTGCTTCCTACAGCCAAGCCCCAAGCATGAACTTCAAATCCCCAGGTAAGCAGAGATATCTCTACAAGGATAAGACCATCCTAATTTAGTCAGGGCCTTATTCAGGCCCTACAGAAGACAAGGTAATTCACGAGAGAAACCCTAACTATCCCAGGCCTCAGTTAAAACTAGCACAAATAAATGAGGTCATTTTAAATAAGATGTCCCCTGCCTCCTCTTTGAAAATCTTATTTGCATTTAGAACTGCAGTGTACAGTTGTGTAGGCTGTTGACTATACAGTGATACCCACCCAGCGGCAAGAACTCCTTGAAACAAGACCTCTTCCCCTGACACTCCAGTATTCCCTGGCCCAAATGCTCTCCCCAGAGCCATTTAATACTCCAAGCTGTCTTCTCTTACTTCCTTCCCATGGCTAGAAATCCCCGGCTCGGACAGTCAGTGACATTCACTTCCAAACTGCAGAAAGTTATAGAGAGAAGAAGAAACTGCTGCAGGATCTAACCCCACTTACACATTGTACAGAATGTAAGCTCATCTCCAAAGGTAGCAGAAAGCCAGTTAATGGTGGAGCCAGCACCATGACCCAGGCCGGGCCATGTCTCCCCACGTGGTTCTGCTAGTAGAACCCCGCTGTAAACACGAGCATCTGTGACAACGGGACGGCCCACCAACAGGTTTGTCTGAGAACAAGGGGCGTTTCCAGGATGTGGGACTTCCAGTTATAAAACCAGGACCGTCCCAGGCAGACCAGGCAAGCAGGTCACCCTATGTGACAATCATAGGTTCACCTCGACTCCGCTCTTGGTCATCGTGCTGACAGACTTAAAATCTGAAACAATGAAGGCCACCAGGTACGTGCTCATCTTCACGGTGACGTCAAAGTGGTCTTCTAGGAGTCCTCCAGCCACAGTCACAGATTTAACCTAAAATCAGAATAACTGAGATCATCAAATAATCCAACTACCCAAGACACTGACAACGTTTTATATAGAGAAATAGTCCTGAGTCTCAGACATACTGAAAGTATATGACATGACATGTGTATAGTTATTTAAGAATATCTCTTTCAGAGACTTCCCTGGTGGACCAGTGGTTGGGGCTCTGCCTTCCAGTATAGGGAATGTGAGTTTAATCCCTGGTTGGGAAGGTAAGATCCCACAAGTCTCACAACCAAGAACCAAAACATAAAACGGGAGCAATATTGTAACAAAATCAATAAAGACTTTTCAAAAAAAGATATCTCTTTCTTAAGTAATTTAGATAGGAAAGCCAAACCATTCTTCTCCATTTTTTATTGATATAATTCATATACCATAAAATTCACTGTTTTAAAGTACACAATTCAGTGGGTTTTTTTAAATTATATTCACAGTTACATAACCATCACCACTTAAATCTCTTCTAAATAAGCTGGACGATTACAAACTGACTCATATTGGCACATGAGGATTGGTAATGTGGCTGGGAAAAAGCAAAACTGAGACTGCTGATTTTGCCAAGATGTAGCCCACAAAATACAAGGTGCGAAAATAATCTGGAAATGCAGTGTCTAACTGGGTGCATGTGTCACCATGGATAACCTAAAAGAGCTTCTAGTTTCTTAAACAATTCAAAGAAACCCATGCCTGGGCCTGACCCTGCAAAGTCTCCTCCAGACTCTGACCTGCTTCACTGAAGTCAGGTTTTGCAGTGTAATCAGGGAACAGCCTTGCAGAGTGGGGTTGGGGCTGCACAGATACAGTCTAAGAGGTCAGCTTCCCAAGAAGAAAGCCTACTACCTCAGCCAACAGAAAGCAGTGTGCAGGATCTTGGAGGAAAGACCAGTCGAAACTAGTCTGAGAACATCCACATTAACGATGCATTTTTCCTGTAATCCAATTTCCACCTCTATTTCTGTACCCTTGTCCTTTATGACACCCACCAGCCACAAGCTATGGTTGCCTGCTGGTCAGCCTTTAGGCATTCACACCCTGACTCCGACAGTCAACCTAGGTTTATTCTTGAAGGACCCGAAATTACCTTTCTTTTTAAAATGTCTTCAGCTTACCCCTGACAAAAATTTCTGTTCTTGAAGTTGTGCTCATTTTTAGGAAAGTAAGCTAATTAAACAAATTCAATTTTAGATGTGATTAACTCCAAAGGTGTATTTTTCTTCTCTAGCCTCCGAAAAGATCCTTTTGAGATCCCGCTGTCCTTCCCCTCAACCCCATGTCTGCAGCTTAAGTTCAGGCACCTCTGTTAAGATTTCTGCCAAGAGGAGGGATGGCCCATCCAAGAGCAAGATTACACTAGAGATTTTCTGATCCTCAGCAAGAGGGTCCCCGACATTCATGGATTTGGACTCTAGCATCTTTGTAGAGTCTCTGGGCTTTGGCCTTCCCCCTGCAAACCTTTAAAACCTCTACCAGTCTTGTTTAGTGGGTCAGTATGTCCCTCACCTCCAAACCATCCCTGTTCCTTTATTCTTCTTAAGCTGTAATTCTCTAATTAGAGAAGTCACTCCCACCCCAGGCAGTAGTACCATAATATTCGGGGAGGGAACCATAATTTGAAAAAGCATTTTCTCTATCTCAAATTTATATTAGGAAAACTGCATAACTGTTTCTTATCTTTCTATATACAAGTGTGTTAGGGAAAGAGACAAGAGTTCTTGGCTGGTAAGGATTCACAAAAGTCTGCCTTTTAGACAGGCTTCCGGTGTGGAATGTCAGAATCTCTCTTAGGGGGTCCTTGAGGGATTCGGTGAGCAATATAGAGTTCTAAAGGTTGGGTAATACTAGAGGTTGGTTCATGGCTCTCTGAGTCCCTTCATGTGAAGACACTGCCTCCCCTGGCCAGCATAGGGATGCAGTACGACACCGTTTCGGACTCTGGGCAAAGCCTATTCCAGCCTGAGTCTCATCCACAGTGAACTTCTCTAAACAAAGGATGTATGAGCTTCAGTAGTTGGTATGCATCAATGGCTGGGCTTCTGTAAGACAGCTCAGCTTCTGTTTTTCCAGTGCTACCAGAATCATAGGGTAATGGACCTCACTGAGTAATTTTATTCATTTGGCACAGTCATCTTCTCCTTTCCGCTTTTAAAAATCAGAGGGGCTTCAGCCTAACAGATGCAAACTATTATATTTGGAATAAACAACAAGGTCCTATTTTATAGTACAGGGAACTATATTCAATATCCTGTAATAAACCATAATGGAAAACAAAAAAGTAGAATAAAAAAATAAAACTCAGAGGGAACACTGTCCACATCTGCTCTGGAACTGGAAAATAATGACTTCTTTAAAGGCAACTTGAGGTAGCTACCTTCATGACCATTATATTCTTAAAAGATTACTTTTTTATTTTCCATCTGCTCAACTTCATGCCAGTTATTTTTAATATAAATTGTATAGCTAATATTAGTAATACAGTATACAGAAATTATAGGAAATAACTAAATCATAGGAATATGACCTTATTTGACAGAGCATTTCCTTTAAAAGTCCTCCTAAAAGAGCATATAAGAAAAGTGCTTTATGAAAGGTACTCTCACTTGAACCTGACCTGAATTTCCTATACGGTTTCTCTCTTGTCGACATGGATGACCTGCAGTGTCACTCCTACCTAAATTTTGCATGCTTTTAGGGATAACTTTTTTTTTCTTTAACCATAAATAAATTGCTGCTTGAACCAAAAGCATAGGTTGGAAGTGAAAAAGAAAAAGTTAGCTATCTGTCAGGCAATAACAAACAATACAGGTAGCCTGAATGTTAACTGTCAATGGGGTGATACAAACCACAGGGAATTAATGGACTTCTCATCAGTAGATATGCAATTTAGACTCACCAATGGCATATTGGAGATGGCGAGGTGTCTTGGTTCCCTTCTGATCTTGATTAAAAAACTCGCCTTGAAAGCAGGTTCATCAAAGCAGGGAAACGCCATTCTGGCTGCAGTCGGTTCAAACTGTGTTGATGCAAGTACCCTAAAGTTCCAGCAAGGGAAATAAAAACGCAGCATGAAGCACCAGGGACTGTAAGTTAGGTGTATGATCAGGTCTTAATTCCTAAATTTATCACAATCCTGATGAATCTCACTACCAAAAAATCTCTTATATGACAAAAGCCATCATAAACTAAAAGACAAATAAAAAGAACAGGGAAAATTGATCAAAAGGTATTTAACAAAGTGTTAATATGACCTGAACAAATAATGAGCTCTTAAAAATTAGTAAGAATTCACCCAGCAACCAAGCTGAATAGCAGGCAGAGGTCATAAACAGGCAACTCACAAAAGAAGAACCTACAAGTAGTCAATAAACACATCAAAAGCTGCACAGCTTCATTAATAATCAATGTAACAAATTAAAGGGGGAAATCTGTTGGAATTTTGGCTCTAAAAGGATTGCCACTACACAGTATTAGTGAGAAATATGGCAAGGCATATCAAAAGTTTGTTGACCCTCTGATTTAGCAATTTTACTTCTAGGCATTTATTCTAAAGAAATTATTTAAAAGTATTGCTTGTCCAAGTATTGCTAATGCTAAAAAGTTGGAAACAACCAAATTTCCATCCATAGGGGGATTAGTTAAATAAATGAACACAGAAACATGCATTTTAATAAAGTTGTTAAAATGATGTAAAGTGACAGTCATCATGTAAAATACATATCAACATATATTTTTAATAAAAAAGCTCCCTCATGAAACATAAAACACAGCATAGTTCCATTTACATTAAATGACATGTATGTATATCCAGAAAAGAGTCTAAAGAATGTTCCCCTAAAACAGAAGCAGTAGTTATCTCTAGGGGTTATAATGGGGATACATTTTATCTTTTCAAAAATTCTTTTCTGTAGCATTTGACTTTTTTTAACCTCAAAAAATAATATGGAATCAGAGAAGTAAGTATAAGCTACTAACAAAATTTGATTTTAAAATTCAGCATAAAATCTCCCAAAAATATATTGTGTTTTTAAAAACAGAACTAAAACCAGGCAGGAGAGGATCCCTAAAAAGGTTTTACCTGAGACAAAAATATTTCCTCTAATAGGCTGTTACAGGTTGAATTGAGTCTTTCCAAAAGATATTTTGAAGTCTTATTACCTAATATCAGTGAGACTTTATTTAGAAATAGAGTCTTTACAGATGTAGCCAAGTTCAGATAAGGCCATCAGGTAAAGCCCTAGTCCAATATAACTGGTATCCTTAAAACAAGAGGGAAATTTGGAGAATGACCATGTGACAGGCAGGCAGAGACCAGACTAATGTAGCTGCAGGTCAAGGAATGTCAAAGATTGATGGCACCACAAGCTAGGAAGAGGCAAAGAACCAGGCTATTCAGAGACCTAGAGAGTGCAGGCCTCCTGACACCTTGATCTCGGACTTCTAGCCTCCAGAACTGTGAGATATTAAATTTCTACTGTTTTAAGTCATGCAGTTTATGTACTTTGTTAAAGCAGCCCTTGGAAACTGGTCCTTAGGCCAAGAGAATTTAAAATATTTATTCTATCCCAGAAGTCTAATTAAATAAACAAATAGGTATTTACTCTGATAGACCTGGAGGAAAGAAAATTGGTTCAAACAGAATGAAAAATGAGATTAAAAAAAAAAAAAGGAAAAGACTATAAGCCATTTTTAAATATGCAAAGACATACAAAGCAAAACCAAAGAGAGAATTCAACCATCAAGGGAGTTTTAAAGGACAAGCCACCTGAAATAATCATTTAAAAAATAATTTATTTAATAATTTATTTAAATTAAATTTTATTTGTTTTATTTATTTAAATAAATAAATAATTTAGGTGGGTAGCACTTGAATCTTAAAAAAAAAAGACAAAAATTACCTCACTTCCCCTTCCTTGGTTCTGTAGGTACTTTTATAAAATCCATGGAAACTCCCAGAAAGATTGCCAGCGTAGTCGATGACAATGGTGTATGGGTGGCCGACAACCAGCGGCTTGGAAGCCAGAAGCGCAATTTGCTCCTGAGGTGGGTTTTCCAGGACTCTCAGCGGCTCTTCAGCCTGCATCTGGCCACCTCCCTTCCTCAGGGCGGCCTTGGATATTTGCAGGTGGTGACTGTGCAGGATGATGGTACTGGTGGGCTTGCTGGCTGTGATTTCTATCTGTGTGGTTCCCCCGAAAGTCAGAGTGGTGAGGTTTGCATGAATCATGAGATCGTAGTGAGCTGGGATGATGTGCTCTGGAAGTCGCATTTTATTCCAAGGAAACGGTGCCCCGTTGCTAGAAGAAGATGTCGGTTCCCTGCTCTGACATGAGGATGGAGTTGCCACCATTAAGAGAATCAACAATGACAAAAGCAGTAAGGGCCTGGTTGAAAATGGCCATTTGATGGATGGAGATATCATCTTGCTTGAAATGGCTAGAGGCACAAATGTACAAAAGAAAAAAAATCACTAAAATATTATCGAGAGAGCATGATTTCAGAATGCATCCACCCAGAATTAACAGATATAGATACAAACTTAAAAAAATACTAGGTCTTTCCCTGAAAGTAAAATTATCTTTCCTATGTTAATGAGTCACAAGAAGAAAGAAGTTTATGGTTAGCAACAATTATTAACATCTACTAAAAAGCATCATTTAACTTTCAAAGTTTAAATTAACTCTGTCAGTCAGGATCCTCCATTGAAAGCAAGAACAAGCTCTGGCTGAAGATCCTTAAATGGATCACAGAGGTGACGGGTCATTTGGGAAACCAGGCTCATAAAACAAGCAAAGATAGGCAACGAGAACTGTATCAGACAAATATGTGATTAGATGACCACTCCCCGCCCACACTAGACCTTAGAGGAAGCCACCCCAATGTGCAGAGATCAGATGCTGACACCTGTGCAGTCATCAAAGGAGGAGGTCTCTACCACCCTGCAACTTTTTGTTGTTTCAGCAAAAATGAGGTGTCGGCACCAGGCAGGGAGATACACAAGGCAGGAATCTGGCCTTACTGCTGCGTGGTCGGAGAAAGGCCCTGCTCCCCACTAAGCTGACAAAGCAGAGAGTTCTTAAAACACAAGAAGTAAAGGACGGACATATATGCTCAGTAGCAAGGGGGAGGGGGAAGGCAAGTATTTGCAACAGTAAGCCTTCATAATATAATCAGTCTGATTTCGGTATTGATTATCTGGTGATGTCCATGTGTAGAGTCGTCTCCTGTGTTGCTGGAAGAGGGTGTTCGCTATTTTCTTGGCAAAACTCTGTTAGCCTTTGACCTGCTTTGTTTGGTACTCCAAGGCCAAATCTGCCTGTTGCTCCAGGTATCTCTTTACTTCCTACTTTTGCATTCCAGCCCCCTATAATGAAAAGGACATCTTTTTTGGGTGTTAGTTCTAGAAGTTCTTGTAGGTCTTCGTAGAAGTGTTCAACTTCAGCTTCTTCAGTGTTACTGATTGGGGCATGGACTTGGATTATTGTGATATGGAATGGTTTGCCTTGGAAATGAACAGAGATCATTCTGTCATTTTTAAGATTGCATCCAAGTGCTGCATTTCAGACTCTTTTGTTCACTATGAGGGCTACTCCATTTCTTCTAAGGGATTCCTGCCCACAGTAGTAGATATAATGGTCATCTGAGTTAAATTCACCCATTCCAGTCTGTTTTAGTTCACTGATTCCTAAAATGTCAGTGTTCACTCTTGCCACCTCCTGTTTGACCACTTCCAATTTATCTTGATTCATGGACCTAACATTCCAAGTTCCAATGTAATATTGCTCTTTACAGCATCAGACCTTACTTTCATCACCAGTCACATTCACAACTGGATGTTGTTTTCGCTTTGGCTCCATCTCTTCAATCTTTCTGGAGTTATTTCTCTACCAATCTCCAGTAGCATATTGGGCACCTACCAACCAGGGGAGTTCATCTTTCAGTGTCCTATCTTTTTGCCTTTTCATACTGTAAATGGGGTTCTCAAGGCAAGAATACTCAAGTGGTTTGCCATTCCCTTCTCCAGTGGACCACGTTTTGTCAGAACGCTCCACCATGATTCATCCATCTTAGGTGGCCCTACACATCATGGCTCATAGTTTCACTGAGTTAGACAAGGCTGTGGTCCATGTGGTCAGATTGGTTAGTTTTCTGTGATTGTGGTTTTCAGTCTGTCTGCCCTCTGATGGAGAAGGATAAGAGGATTATGGAACCTTCCTGATGGGAGAGACTGACTGAGGGGAAACTGGGTCTTTTTCTTATGGGTGGGGCCATGCTCACTAAATCTTTAATCCAATTTTCTGTTAATGGATGGGGAAGCCCTATACAGTCAGCAAAAACGAGACTGGGAATGTGAAGTCAAGTGGGCCTTGGGAAGCATCACTATGAACAAAGCTGGTGGAGGGAATGGAATTCCAGCTGAGCTATTTCAAATCNGCTGGAATCAAGATTGCTGGGAGAAATATCAATAACCTCAGATATGCAGATGATGAAACACTTATGGCAGAAAGTGAAGAAGAATTAAAGAGCCTCTTGATGAAAGTAAAAGAGAGAGTGAAAAAGTTGGCTTAAAGCTCAACATTCCGAAAACTAAGATCATGGCATCCAGTCCCATCACTTCGTGGCAAATAGATGGGGAAACAGTGGAAACTGTGGCTGACTTTATTTTTGGGGGCTCCAAAATCACTGCAGAGGTTGACTGCAGCCATGAAATTAAAAGACACTTGTTCGTTGGAAGAAAAGTTATGACCAACCTAGACAGCATATTAAAAAGCAGAGACATTACTTTGCCAACAAATTTCTGTCTAGTCAAAGCTACCGTTTTTCCAGTAGTCAGGTATGAATGTGAGAGTTGGACTATAAAGAATGCTGAGCACTGGAGAATTGATGCTTTTGAACTGTGGTGTTGGAGAAGACCCTTGAGAGTCTCTTGGACTGCAAGAAAGTCCAACCAGTATATCCTAAAGGAAATCACTCCTGAATATTCATTGGAAGGACTGATGTTGAAGCTGAAACTCCAATACTTTGGCCATCTGATGCAAAGAACTGACTCACTAGAAAAGACCCTGATGCTGGGAGGGACTGAGGGCTGGAGGAGAAGGGGACGACATAGGACAACATGGTTGGATGGCATCACTGACTTGATGGTCATGAGTTTGGGTGGACTCTGGGAGTTGGTGATGGACAGGGAGGCCTGGTGTGCTGCAGTCCACGGGGTCACCAAGAGTTGAACACAACTGAGTGACTGAACTGAACTGAAACCTTAATAATACTGGCGTCTTTGTTCAATCATCCTGCCACAAGCTGATTTAATATCTACTTAGCCAGGAATGACTTAAAGAAGTTTAGAGTGACTTTCATGAGAGTTTGTTACAATCAATCTCCTGGATTCTCCCTTACCACCTATCCAACAAATAAGTGATGCACGCTTGCACCTATAATGCCATGTGCCAAGTACTGTGTGCTATATAAGAATACACAAGACACAAATCCCATAATCAGGAACTTCAAAGTCTGGAAGGGCAGAAAAGTTTTCTACCAAAGAATAAGACACAACAGAGAATGTGTGGAGTGCTTTAAGAATCACAATAAAAGGGAGTGCCGAGGGAGAATGGAACATTTCAAAAGGGAGAGAGTGCCTCTGGCCGCAGAGTGATGCTGAGATGCCTTCAAGCAGCAGCAGCACTGAGGGTGATCTGGAAGGACAGGTGGGATTAGGAAGTGAAGGAAAGGGTCAGCAGCACCGCAGGAGGAACAAGAGCCAGAGCACCACAGGAGAAAGGAAAGGGTTGTCCGGGCAGTCGGTGTGGACAGAAGGAAACCCCAGAACTGGCTGCAGAATGATTACCCCCTAGACAAGGAAGTGAGGGACTCCAAGATTACACTCAAAGCATGCCTGGAGTCATGCTACAGAGCATATTTTGCACTGTCAAGTCCAAGGGACATAAAAGGAATGAGACTTTTAAGGGAGTTGGCAAATCATGTCCAGAGAACCAAGCAGACCACTCTCTCTTAGACAAGGTTGCCTGACAGCAGTTTGCCAGGAGGAGCCCCAGTCAGGTGAACTCAGGTTACTGAAGTGATGGTGGTACACTGGATGTTTCCTCTATGTCAGTGGTTCCCATCTTTAGCTGCCTGTTAATATCACAGGCAGCTCTTAAAATGTTCTAGAAGCTCTTAGAATAATGACAAGCCTAGATCCCTAAGTCAGTTCAGTTCAGTCGCTCAGTCGTGTCTGACTCTTTGCGACCCCATGGACTGCAGCATGCCAGGCCTCCCTGTCCAACACCAACTCCCAGAGCTTACTCAAACTCATGTCCACTGTGTTGGTGATGCCATCCAACCATCTCATCCTCTGTCATCCCCTTGTCCTCCTGCTTTCAATCTTTCCCAGCATCAGGGTCTTTTCCAGTGAGTCAGTTCTTCGCATCAGGTAGCCGAACTATTGGAGTTTCAGCTTCAGCATCAGTCCTTCCAATGAATATTCAGGACTGATTTCCTTTAGGATGGACTGGTTGGACCTCCTTGCAGTCCAAGAGATTCTCAAGGGTCTTCTCCAACACCACAGTTCAAAAGTACCTAGGTCACAGGATCATAATTTTTTCAAACTTCCCAGAAATTCTACTGAAGAGTCAGATTGAGGAAACTCCTAGATAATCCTGGCAAAACAATAATCTTATCCCTGGATCCTTACACTGGGGACACTGCTTCAAGGGCATAACTGATGTGATATTTCCACCCCTCACTCCCCATCCTGATTCCTTCCCAAACACACAGCTACTCATACTGACCTCCTGCTTCCCTCCACGGAGCAGACCTGCAGGCTAAACAGAAAGAATGCCAATACTGTACAGAGTCAACCATGGAGGCACCGTAATTGCAATTCAAAAGGCACCACCCAGATGAGCCAGGAAAGAAACGTGAACAGGAAGAACAGGTTCTTTTTGTTTTTGTGTTTCTTGGCTTTTTCATTTGTTCACTGTTTTCTGGGGACCAAGCAAAGGGTGCCTCCAGCCATGGAGGATTGGCGCAATTTGGAAGAGGAGAATAAAACTTGAACACTAGGATAGCAGAGCATTCCTGCCCCACATCCTCAGGCAGAATCCCAGGGCAGGGGAAGAATGATGGATCTCCCTTGAAGCTGCAGCGGCCAGAGGTAAAGGGAACTCAAGTGATGCTTCCATTTGGAAGCTCTGATGGCAGCAGCTCAGTGGATGTGGCCCCTTCCCCAAGATGGTAGAGAGCACAACAAAGGTAGCAGGTTCAGGCATGAGGGGACTCTGGGAGCCCCTGTGGGATCTCCAACAGCCCAGCAAGAGATCTAAAAATTCCAAGCAGTCCTGAGCTGACAGCAGCCTCTAATAGGTTTCTGACTTTGGTAGAACTTCAAAAGCAGACCCAGGATTGATCCCTGGGTCAGGAAGATCCCGTAGAGAAGGAAGGGGCAACCCACTCCAAGATTCTTGCCTGAAGAATCCCATGGACAGAGGAGCCTGACGGCCTACAGTCTGTGGGGTCACTAAAGATGTAGACTCAACTTTATGACTAAACCACCACCATCTGAGCTGACAGTAAGGCCGACGGGCTGCTGATGGGGTTGGCAGCNGTCTGGTCAAGGCTATGGTTTTTCCAGTGGTCATGTATGAACCTGAGAGTTGGACTATAAAGAAAGCTGAGTGCCAAAGAATTGATGCTTTTGAACTGTGGTGTTAGAGGAGACTCTTGAGAGCCCCTTGGACTGCAAGGAGATCCAACCAGTCCATCCTAAAGGGGATCAGTCCTGGGTGTTCATTGGAAGGACTGATGCTGAAGCTAAAACACCAATATTTTGTCCACCTGATGCGAAGAGCTGGCTCATTGGAAAAGACCCTGATGCTGGGAAAGATTGAAAGCAGGAGGACAAGGGGATGACAGAGGATGAGATGGTTGGATGGCATCACCGACTCAACGGACATGGGTCTGGGTGGACTCCGGGAGTTGGTGATGGACAGGGAGGCCTGGTGTTCTGTGGTTCATGAGATTGCAAAGGGTCAGACACGACTGAGTGACTGAACTGATTATGTGCAATGACTTTCCCAGGCAAGGCAAGAGAGCACAGGTCTCTGACCTCAAAGAGCATATAGTGGGGGTGGGGTGGACTTTTAAAAAATCTACACAAATAGACAGAGGGAACAGCACACATATTTGCGAGCTCAGGGGCAGTAGAGAGTGTTAGTTATTTGTAAGATCAGTCAACCTGAAGTCCAGAATATGGTAGAAAGATGTGCCTGGAGAGGTGGGCAGGAGAAAGACCACCACCCAGCTTTCTATGCATTTAAGGATTTTCAGACCCTGTCCTACGGGCAATGAGAAATCACCTAAGAGATCTTAGGATCCAGGTCACACCCTAAGAAGATCACCTGGTTGCTGGGTAGAGAGTGGAGGACTAGGAAGAAGTAAGAATGAAGGCCAGGAGACCAGTTAGAAAGCAGCCGAGAGAGTAAGACAGTGGTTCTTACTGGGATGGTGTCAACAGAAAGGGGTGGGAGGGAGTCAGAGAGAGGGGCTGACTCAACATCTATATTTTGGACTCCCCTGATAGCTCAGACGGTAAAGCATCTGTCTACAATGTGGGAGACCCAGGTTCGATCCTGGGTCAGGAAGATCCGCTGGAGAAGGAAATGACAGCCCACTCCAGGACTCTTGCCTGGAAAATCCCAGGGATGGAGGAGCCTGGTAGGGTACAGTCCATGGGGTCGCACAGAGTCAGACATGACTAAGTGACTCCACCACCAGAAGTAGGGAGTGAGGGAAAGGACAGGATGTATCAGGATGGCTGTCAGAAATGAACACCTGGGTAGTCGTAGCTGTCCTTTATTGAAATGGAGAAGGCCAGAGGTGGAAGAGATTTAAAAAGGAGGAGAGGGAACCAAGGCTTCAGTTTTTAATATGTTTTATTTGTGATGTCTATGCCTGATGAACTATGGACGGAGGTTCGTGACACTGTACAGGAGACAAGGATCAAGACCATCCCCATGGAAAAGAAATGCAAAAAGGCAAAATGGCTGTCTGAGGAGGCCTTACAAATAGCTGTGAAAAGAAGAGAAGTGAAAAGCAAAGGAGAAAAGGAAAGATATTCCCATTTGAATGCAGAGTTCCAAAGAATAGCCAGGAGAGATAAGAAAGCCTTCCTCAGTG